GACCTAGAACATTCTCTCCACCTCTTGGACATTCATAGAGCACTGGCTTTTTATTCCAGAACTGCTTCCTTCCACAAGTCTCAATGACTGTTTATTTCCCCGCATTTACACCACATAGGGGATCCCTTATCTCTTCCCAGAACATATCTAAATGGATTGTGTATCACTTAGCCAAAAAGCCTCTTCCTGTTGGAATTAAGGCTCATTCCACAAGAGCAATGGCTGCCTCTACGGCATTCCTTAGAGGCATTTCTGTCCCTGACATCTGCAGGGCTGCTGCGTGGTCCACTCCATCCACCTTTGCCGCCCATTATTGTTTAGATTCTGGGCAAAGTCGGACTCAGCATTTGGACGAGCAGTCTTGTCAGCTGTTTTTCCATGACGTCCCTCCTCTGAGCAGGTAAGCTTGTTAATCACCCATTAGTGGGTATTCACAAAGACCATGAAGAAGAAAGAGAGGTTACTTACCGTAACTCTGTTTCTTCAAGTGGTCATCTATGAATTCACACTTCCCACACATCCTTCCCTCTGTCCCTCATGTCGCACAATTTTTACACACCGGCAAAGTTTGTGTGAACTGAGGCACTTGCCAGGATGGGCGGACCACATGTACTGCCGGGGCAGTCCTAGTGAACAATGTTTGAGCTCTAGAAGATTCTGGAAAACTCTGCGCAAGTGCAGACTAAACCCATTAGTGTGAATTCACACATGACCACTCGAAGAACTAGAGTTATTGTAAGTAACCCCTCTTTTCTTAGTTTGAGCAACTCGTTAGATGAAATAGATGTGCTAAAGATTGCTGTACTGGGCCACACCCTTAAAACCTGTGGTCTGCCTGCGCTAGCTTATATCTCCTGCTTCCATGCCTTCAGGCTTATGGTGGTGTCCTTGGGATTTTATATCTTGTCTATCTTGCCTGCATATCAGGCCTCCAAGAGTGGCCTTGATTGTCCTATATAGTGCTGCTATCTGCTAGGCTTTGTGGTTTCCTCATTAGTTGATTCTGTGCTCTGCCACCACTACCAACATAACAGTTTTCATTCAGCCCAGACATAGTGGTCAGAATCCTGTTGCAGAACTTTGCAACATGCAACCAGGATTGGCACAATGAATTTTGAACATTAAACAGCACCTTCCAATATGTCATCTATAAAGGGACAAGTCCCTTGCAGAATGTCATTCCTTACCGTCTTTGTTCGTAGTTGTATGACTTTAAAAACCCATCTCTAGTTTACTACTTCAAATATTCAGTTCCAAACTGCTCTAAAAATGAGAAAAAGTAGCTGGAAAACATTAAGTATACTAGTACAGTGGTGCCTCACATAGCGACGTTAATCCGTGCAGCAAAAATCGCTGCTAAGCGATTTCGTTGCTATGCAATTTTTAAAAGCCCATAGAAACACATTAAACCCTATTTAATGCATTCCTATGGGCAAAAAACTGACCTTAAAGCGAAGATCCTCCATACGGCAGCCATTTTCGCTGCCTCTTAAGTGAGGAATCGGCACAAAAACACAGCGGGCGGCCATTTTTTTACCCGGCAGCCATTTTGGAACCGCCGATCAGCTATTTAAAAATCATCGCTTTGTGATGATCGGTAAGCGAAACAGGGAACTGATCATCGCAAAGCGATAAAACCCCATAGGAAACATCACAATGTGATCGCTTTTGCGATCGCAAACAGTTAATCGCTATGCGGTTTTGTCACTAAACGGAGCGCCCGTTAAGTGAGGCACCACTGTATCTACTAGAGATGTGGGTATTCACATACAAATATCCCCACACAAGTGGCATTAACGAGGATCCAGCCCCATGGGGCTGGATGGCCCACTCACTGTTTCGCCGTGGACGTGGACTGCTCAGTTGTACCAACTGATCTGCAGCACACTATCCGCTCTTCACTCCTGGCAGGAGGCAGGATAAGCCTTGCTGCAAGGTTGAAGAGTGGTGAGCGGATAGCGCTCTGTGGATCAATTGGTAGAATTGTGCAATCCATGTCCATGGCAAAACGGTGAGTGGGCTGTCCATCGCGATGGGGCTGGACCGTCGTTAACACCACCTGTGCGGGGATATTTGTATAAGAATACCCCCCATCTCTAGTGTCTACCTATCAATATATATTCTCACTATAATCCTTACTGTCCACTCCTATATCTCACTGTAGCTAGGATGATGAGATTTTAAAAAGGGGAGGTAAAGTTCCTGTATCTTTCAGAGACCTGGGGAACAGGAAATTTCAGAATTAAAAGCTCTACCTGCTGGCATTTCTTTTCTATTCAACTATTAAAGGTGCAGGAACCCTGTTATCTTTTTTCATCTGGTTACTCTAGCTATTAGCTCACTGTGTTACTCCTACAGTACGACAACATTAACACACTCCTTCTGCCAAAGGTTGCTACCTCTTACAAAACAGTGGTTCTGCATTCCCAATCTCCTGTTCAGGGACATGATGGGATTATGGCCCTTGCCTCTGTTCTCTGTTATCTTTAAATGGAAAACATTCTTGTCAACTGCAATGTAGCTCTCCAGATTAGAACTTGATTGAAGCTAGAGTAGTGTAGATCATTCACTTAGTCAAAAGATACTGTTTTGTTAGAGACTGGATTTGCCATTTCATAGATCTATGAGGCTCTTGGAACTGAAACAGATCAGAACCTATGCTTCTTAGCTGCTGCCTGGACATTCTCTGTATTTGGATGGTAGCCAAATCAGTAAGAGGCAGCAGGTTTATGTCGTTTCAGAAACAATCCATTTCCCATGGTGTACTATTCTTTGTGTGCGTACGCATGCGCACATGCATGCATGGAGGAAGGGAGGGAGGAATCCATGAAAGTCAGGTAAACTAGGAGAGGAGCCTTTCCATCCATGGAATGGAGATATCCTGGGCTCTTTCCTCTTTGAGTTTGATGCAAGGCAAAAAGTGGCCGCAAGAAAGGTTCGTTTCTAAGTCACTTTAAATCAGAACAAGCTGCCTGGTCTGAGATTTAGATGTGGGAGGTCTTGAGACCCCCGGCTCATTTCTGAAGTTTGCTTTATAGCTTTTTGTGAGTCATTGTTTCTCAGCCTTCTTATCGTGCCATTCTCAGGGGCCAGCCATCTCATGTTTGTTTCTATTGAAAAGAGCATGTAAAAACAGAGTTTTCGCTGTGACTCAGGTAGGCATGCTGTGGCGAGAATGGAAAAAAAAACTTTGTTGAAAACTTGTGTTTTAGCATGTGGAATTTAAGTCAAGACAAAAGTAGTTCCGCTTTAAAATGATTTCGTGATGGCATTGTGTAGCAGTTTCCCGATCAACAGTTTACTCTATGTAGCTGTGTGATGGATATTAGCTTCATGCCTACCAAATTATGCCCTCATTCAATGTTTTTCAGCAAACAGCATTGCCCTCTTCAAATGCTTTACCTCATGCATTGACCTGCTCTCTTCACTAGACACAGGATATTCGTATTGGTATCCTGAGGGATATGAATATTGACACCACAGGTGCCAACAGAAACCCACCAGTCCACTTTCCACTCTCTAGGATATTTGTATTGGTATCCTGAGGGATACGAATATCGACACCACAGGTGGCAATAGAAACAGAAGCCTTCCGGCAGAAACCCACCAGTCCACTTTCCACTCTCTGTGATGCATGCGGCTGTCACCCATCATGTAGTGCCTGTTGCAGAAGTAGCCCAGCTGACATTTTGCAGGCTCTCCACACAGCCAACCACTCTAGCGAGGAGGCAGGATGACAAGTCTCCCCACTCAGCTGCTGAGTGGTCAGCTGGGTGGAGAGGCGGGAAACACCAGCTGGGCTACTTCTGTGATTGGTGCGAGTCTCCCCACTCGGCTGCTGAGTGGTCAGCTGGGCGGAGAGGCGGGAAAGCACCAGCTGGGCTACTTCTGTGATTGGTGCTATACAAGTGACAACAGCTATGTGCATGGCACAGAGAGCAGTAAGTGGACCAGTGGGTCCTGGGGGAGGGTTTTGTTTCCACTGGCACCTGTGCTGCCAGGCAGTATTCATACTCACATCCCTCAGGATACAAATACGAATATCCCATTTCTACTCTTCACCTAGGCCCTGAACATACCCGCTTTAATGTATGCGCACTAGATGTCATGTTTATATAGGGGTGAAACACATGGATTTTTCCAGTATTTCCAAATGCCATCTAGATCAGCAACATATTAAAGCAATAGGAGAGAAAACTTGAAAAATGTTTTGCAAGTTTAAGCATCTTAGGGTGTAAAGAAAACAGGAAATGTTATGTGGGCAATGCTGGTTGTACTTGCACATAGACATTTTGTGGAACACATTGAGGGTACAGCACAGCTGATGCTCTGCATAAGGTTAGTATGTCAGCACTGATATTCGTAGGCTTCTAGCAACACTGCCGGTAATCACACAGTTTATCATGCCTTCACTAACAGCAACTCTTTACTGGTGCACCTGTGTCAACACTGCTCAGAAGAAGCCAGTCACCCTTGGTATGAGTACGAATTACCTTTCACATCTAGTTTGTCAAAGAGGCATAGGTCACATCTGGCAGAGTTACAGAGTCTCTGCTCCAGGAATCTGAAACCACTGCTCCATCTACTGAATCCACTCCCTTCCTTCTGTAAAATGTTCTATTTTACCAATAAAAGGCTGTCAGCCTTAAGATTTAAGCTTGAAGGGACTATAATTATTTCCCCAGGGATGTTGAGATTTCTGCAGCTTACACTTCCACCATTCCCATGTGACTGTATCATAAATCCCCACCCCCACCCCTTATTCTGTGCTGGCACAAGTTTTCTATTTCAGAACACTTTGCCACAAATTGAAAATTGAATTTTATGCTATAAAGGTTATTTTCATTTTAATACCAATTATCAGGAACAGAAACAAGTATAGTTTTTAAGGTAAGGCATTTAACTGAAATGCTGCACTGCTGTTTAGGAGCAGTCCAATTTGTTTTATAATCTGCCATAATAGTACTAAGTCAGGTTATTGTGTTTGTTTGTTTCTGCAGGACCAGAGTGCTCCAGAAACTACACATCTATGAATGGGGTGATCAGATCACCAGGATTCCCAGAAAAATATCCCAACAGCCTTGAATGCACTTATATTGTCTTTGCACCAAAGATGTCAGAGATCATACTGGAGTTTGAAAGTTTTGAACTAGAACCAGATTCAAATCCACCAGGAGGAGTGTTTTGCCGGTATGACCGATTAGAAATCTGGGATGGATTCCCTGAAGGTAAGACACAGAGACATAAAGAAAGCTGCATGTCACCGGAATGTAATCCCATAACATCCTGGAGAAGATAGATTGGATTTTTTAATAGATGAAGCCCAAGCTTGTTTTGAAACACAGGAAAGCAAAAGATGAGGAATAACCTCAATTGTGCAAGGATTTGTACATGAAATATGCCAAAAATGGCATGTGGCAAGGACAGGGACTGAACATCAGAACCATAGTAACAATGCCAAAAATGGAGGACTAAATTTAGTCTCTCACACTTTCCAACAAATGAAATATGACTCTCCCCTTATCTCTTGATGACGTCTTGTTGAACATTTCACTGCCTTCATCAGCAGTAGCCAAATATAAGACTTTTTGGGAAACTCCTAGCATAAGAGGTAAAGTTAAGAGATAAACTGAGCGGTATATTAAGAATTTGACATTTCTGGTGACAGCTCAGTGTTTCTGATTACAGGAATTTGGGCTTTAAAAATTGCCCTTGTGCTAAAGTTTATGTTGTATGTACATAGAGACGTCACTCTGAGCAAAGGTATGGTTCAGTCATTTGTGATAAATTCTGTCTGATGCAGTGTCTGGAGATTTACTTTCCATGTTATCCCTAGCAAAAGGAGAACATAATGGTTTGATGGTGTTGTCTTCTGGTTTGTGTGTACTCTAAGAAAGTTAGGGAACAGGAAAATGAAGGTAGTCACATTAATTTAAAAGAATAAAAAAAATTCAAAATGTGCAATCAGGCAATACCTTTTATTAGGAGCAGCTACAAGTTTTGCAAAAGATTATAAGGTCTTCAGATTTCTTCATTGGGCAATATGGGACTAATGGGTAAACATGGAAGCGCCCCAAAATTAACCTAAATATTTTACTCTGTGAAGTCTCTGATTAATCTCCAGAAAGAAGTGTGCAGGCTTTATAAGTCACTGATAGCTGTGCAGGTCTTATACAAGAGGATAAAGTGGTAGCCTTCATCTCTGGAAACTCAAGGTTGATCACATCTTAGGCAAGCATTTGGTTTAGTGCAATTTAATGTCAGATTTCTTCTAGGCCAACAACTTCCCCTTGCGATGCCAGTGTTAGAATCCAGGGAACCTTGAGAATTGTATAAGCAGTGGCATGCAAGCAATTATTGGCTTTTTGTATACATGCCACAACAAGCAAGAACAAAAACACATTTTGGTTGCCTCTTTTTGTCCTCTCAGTTCTGTCCTCAGGCAAAATCTATTAGTTGGTTGGGTAGCAGAAATTACCTGGCTTTAAAAAATTTCATTTCCCAAACAACAAGATATTTTTTTTGTTTCACTGTATTTTATCTATTTACATTTGCCAGTTAAGAACCTGTGGACACTTTGCCAAGAGATCATCAATGTAATCAAAAATTATGTTTCTCCAGCATGGAAAATGGATTACATCTTACAAAAAAATGCAATCAGCAGTGTGGTCTGTATATTGTATTATTGAATGCTTTCATATGTGAAGAAAGTCTACTTGTATAGCAAATTATTACATCAGGGTTGGTTGGTTAATGAATTTGTTTTCCGCTGTGTTAAAAGCAGCCTACAATAAACTCATCAAAATGCACCACATTTGAATGAGAGGAAGAAACATACTTTATCAAATATCAATGATGTCCAATAAAACAAAAGTGTTACAAGTGTGGAACTGATTACATATTATAGTGAAATAATCAAGACTTCATAAATAAAGAACAAATCCAAAAGAGAATAACACTTACCTGGCTGGCTGATTTACACCTGGCTCCCATCTTTCTTTTCCAAAGGAGACTTAAGACCAGCAGCAAAACGGTGACCAGCAATAGTATAAATCCTCTTCCCCCAGTCGCCACTAGCATTTGCCTGACAACATATCTCAGAGAGGTGATTCAAAAACTTTCTCCCTGATGTAATAGTCTGCAACACATGGAGAGTTTCTTTACATGGGAAAGTATTCTATAATACAATAGGTATGCCCTTGTTCTCTGTATTGATGCAATTCACAATTCTACATTTTTATGCTCTGTAAACTCTCTGGTTGGCTTTTATTCATAATAGCCACAATTTAAAATCCATATTTAATATTTCTAGTGCTCTTTTCAGCTTAAAATGGCTAATTTTAAAGAGCTTATTTTGATCATGTTTAAAAGATGTACAGTTCTCTCACTAAATCTAATATTTTAATATGATTCTGCTTATGCATTGTGGAGGCTAAATCTTTTTAACAGAAGCTTTAGACCTTTAAAAGTAAATGGCAATCTAGTTTTCATGTTTGCGTGTATTTGTTTTAAGATTAGATAGCTTTGTCATCATTCCCTCAAATCCTTTTCAGTATTTAACAGTGGACCAAAAAAATAAATAATGACTGAATAACTATCTAGTATTTAACCTGCCCATGAGAACAGCCTTGTAACAGTAGTATAACTGTGCCTTTAAATTTAATAATAGGCTTTTCTCCATTGCAAGAAGCTTTCAAGGGTGAATACCAGTAGAAATTTTTATTACAACTGATGTGTGGAGAAAAAGACCAATCAGCCAAATGACCTTGACACTAATCTCATAGAAAATATTTCATATACTTACACCTAAAGTAGTCATTTTCTGGTTCAAGAAAATGATTGCACTGAAGCCATTGTAAGCAAGTCTTATAAATTTAAAGTATGTTTTGTTTGTGTTAGGGTGCTATCAAGTCCAAACTGACTTATAGCAACCCTAAGGGTTTTCAAGGTAAGTGAGATATTTAGGGCATGCTTTTAGCAGTTCCAATCCCTCAGTAAGTTTATGCGGCTGAGCAGGGATTCAAACCTTGTTCTCCAGAGTCCTAGTCCATCACTTTATCCACTACACCACAATGGGAATCCTTGTTTAGGTGATACAAATTAGAATTGTGACATTTAAAATACATATTTCTGTAACTACTTAGCTGGCACATCTTTCCTGGGGTGAGAGTACAGTACTTTCTATATGTGCATGATTTAGCAGGTGTAGGCACATGAAATGTCAGCTTGTACCATTAGTCATTATTTAATATGTTCTCTTAAAAGGCATGAAATGATGCACATTTTTACTTTGGGATCAATAGAAGACTGGTATGAGTGACATTAACAATGAACAGTAGCAATAGATAATATCATAGGCTTTGGGCTTTCAGCAAACTAGTTGACCAAGGACTATATTTCCATGATGTTACATAATTCTTCGGTCCCCTCCGAGAAGTTCAAAGAACAAAGGAAAGCCGCCAGACCCTGCAGATAAAAAACTTAGCAACAGCAAGATCTGTTCCCATCATTACCCACCCAAATCATTTGGATGTAAGCCCAGTGAATAAACAGTTAAAATAGTTGCAAACAACTGTATAATAAGAGAGGAATCCCTTTGGCATGGGGAGATGGTACAAGGTACGAAGTGAACTGCAGTAAAATGAAAGGCTATGTGGTTAAATCTGCAGAAAGCAGACCGCAAAATGCCTCTGCCTGAGGCAATAGTGTACGTAAGAGCAGCCAGCCTAAATGCAAACCACTGATTACTCTCAAGAAAAATGGATTACTCCAAGTCATGCAGAGCTGCTGTGATGAATTACACATATTCATCATACATTTCTTTGAGGCTTAGCGTATAGAATGCCTTTGGGAGGCTCAAAAGGCACTTTAAGAAAGTTTACATATCATTTGAGTGTCACAGGGAAAACATTACTGCCATCGTCAATATTAGAAGTGCTTACATTCATTTCTGTGCACATGAAGTATACCTTTATTCCAACACATCTGTATGTGGATGTGCACATGCATGTATGCTGGGGTTAGCATCTGACCAGAAAAATGGCATATCCATTTTGCTCTTAGGGCTTGAAGAGCACCTTGCTCTGAAAGTAAGCTACAAACCAATGAGATAAACATTATGACTTCATAGTATACCACTTCATTTGTATATCTAGCTACTGCAGGACTTGGTTTAGGATTGCTTTTGAAAATTTCGTAAGGAATAGGCAAACAATGCCCATTCTACAGGAGTAGTCCCATGTATTTATCTTCCTATGAGATCAACGTCTTAGAGTTTGGAAAAGCAATGAGCAAAGAACATTTTCATTGCACTATTCTTTAAGCAACAGTTCAGTCTCTCCTAATCACAGAGCTCTAGTTCTGGCACTATTAAAATAAAACTAAACATTGCGACCCTTGAAATACAATATTTTCTAGCATTAACTTCAAATGAGTCCTCCCACTCTATAATTGCAGTTGAGCAGCGAAAAATAGCTTTGCCGTGCTGAAATCCATTTGACCCTTAGCTCACAAATTACAAGGCAAAGAAAGATTAATAGGAGCCTTCAGGAAAGACTGACACATTTTAGCTAAGCAGGTAGTGATATAATCTCATGAATTATTGGCCATGATGTTTTCTCCACAGTGAACCATTTAGTGTGGACTCCTTTTACACATTATTAAGTAATTTATTGTCATTCGCAACTTTGGAAGGCTAAAATTGAAATTAAAAGAGAAAAGTTTAAATGTACTCCCTGTTTATATGGGAAGACTAAAAACCTCTGTTTCATCCACTTCAGGTCAGATCAATATTGCATTAGCTCAGTAGGCAAAGTCTTACATGTTGTGTAAGAAAATTCAATACCTCTTTATGTCATATTCTACAAAGCATTTGGCTGCTGAATTGACACAGCTAGATAGAAGAACACAACTGTGATATCTAGCGGCAAGATTCAGAAGAATGAAATTTTAAATGACAGCATATATGTCTTTAAAAATTATAAACCCATGAGTAACACTGACTCTTTAAAGTGTGAAACTATTGGAAACCAGTTTCCTTCTGTTTGTTATTTCAGTGGAAATTCCTTGCTGGAAATGGGAGGTAGGGTTTGGTATAGAGGGAGTCCTTTTCTTCTGCTCTTAGAGTTCAGTGAGCAGAGTGATCAAAGGGGCAGAGACATGGATGTTTTCCCACCAGAGAGAAGGGCAAAGATGGGGGAGAAAGCAGGAAAATCCTGGATCTTGACCAGTCAGATGTAAGGTAAAGCACATAAAACTCCATGGAGCATTGTGATATATGTGTTGTGGGGTAAGAGGATCTGTAATCTGTAAATGAAAAGGGCCTTTTTAACTGCTGCAAAAGTTGCCAGATCCTTTCAGTGCTTCAGGTTGTGGCTTACGAACCTGCCCGGTAAACAGAGTGCCACTTCCCTAAAATCATGAGCAATTTCTTTTGTTTGTATCCCACGAGTCTTTCTGTTTATATATAGCCATCACAAAATAAGCATCAAGCTCCCAGAGGAACTTAATTAAGAGACTGAAGAAAATATATCTATAAACAATTAAAACCAAATGTACACCCAACATTTGTTAAGTTCTATGTCTGTTACTTATTTGCAGATTATGAATCAAACATGCAAATTCTACACAGTTACATCCACTGCAGATAACACTTTGGATGCATATAGGTTAGATGTGATGAGCAGTGTCAGGTTGAGGTCAGTAGACCTGTATGGCTTTTTCTGTAAAGAAGAAGTCTCTAAAGAGACTTAAATGCTGACACTGGGACAGAGATCTCTACTGGGATTTCCAACCAGGCTGTTATTATCTCTTGCAAAAGTAGCAATCCTATTAAAGTAATCAAATCATTCCATACAACGTAGTCACTTTGCTATTATCAAGATATTCTGGGACATTAGTGCCTTCTGCCTTAAGCCAATTAGAGATGGGAAGGCAAGACACACTGAAAAAAAAAAAACAATAGGTAAGCTTGAAGACAACAACTTTGCTGGGGAGGATTGGAAGCACGTGGGGAAAGAGGAAGACCTACTAGGAGATGGATTGACTCCATAAAGAAAGTCATAGCCATGAGTTTACAAGAGTTGGGCAAGATGGGTTGTTAAGGATGGGACATTTTGGCAGTCATTCATTTATAGGGTTGCCATAAGTCAGAGACAACCTGATGGCGTGTAACAGCCACTGCATTCTTATGAACCCATCTGATTCAGAAATACCCAGGAACTCAACCAGTTCTGTGTATAAGACTATACTTTTGTCTAAAATCTTTAGAATAATTGAGGGCTTTCTTCTACATGGAAGTAAGCTGAGGAGAGAACAAAAACAAGTGGAAGGGAAAGCAGGGATCAAAGTGATCCTGCAGGGCTTTGATCCTTTTCCCCCTACACTTGCTAAGTCCCACTTAGATTTCTTACTTTTGAGTTAGAAAAGTGGGGGTGTCTTATACATGGGGGCATCTTATACACAGAAAAATACGGTAATTAGTAAGAATTTGCCAGCATGGCTTACATAATTTGTTTTGCCTAAGCACACACGAACATTTGAATTCTGGCCATTATCTTCATAGAAAGTGTGTTATTGCAACACAGCAAAAAATAAATAAACATTTGCTTCTCATTACTTCTCATTTGCTATTTTTAATAAGATTGTCATTGCCATCAGTTTCATGATGTAAATATACACTCACAACTGCAACTGATCTTTTAGAAGGCACTCTCCATGCTTGCCTATTCCATGGTCCTTCCAACTTTACAAGAAATAGTGCAACTAATTGTAAGCATATATGAATTGTATTTTGCTTTGTCCCATACATGTTGATTTTGTTAAAACACGTCTGCAGTGAGTACCATGCATGATAACATAATTCAGGTGCAGGTTGCAGGTATCCTGCCCACTGAATTGGCACTCCTGAAAATCTCTGTGATTACCATTAGAGTAGACTATGTCTAAATGGGCGGCATATAAATGCAATCAATCAATCAATCAATCAATCAATCAATCAATCAATGAATAAACCAGAGACTTTGGGCATTCTGGATGAATGGTGAATGCTGCTTTACTTGCTGCAAAATATTTAAACTTTGTTAAGTAACATTGACCAAAATCCTGTTGTGTAGCAGAGTGAGTCGCAGTTAGAGCAGGCTGGTTTGAATCAACAGAATGGAGAACTGACTCACTTAATGCCATTTGATTCCTTGGGGCTACTCTAGTACGATTTATTGTGCTAAGTAACAGAATTTTGACCTGTTTTAGTGTGCATGGAAATTATGACAGAACTGGGAGGTTATGGGAAAAGCCACTGAAAGAGAAGAAGCAATGAGTGCTGATTTAATTCTTGAGAGTAAAGAAACAAATTACTTGAAAGGAACAGAATCTGTAGTATTTGGCTCTTAGCCATATGGAAATTGTGGTAAGAGGCTCTTAGGTTTAAGAACCTTAACCAATCCTGTTATATGTTTTTAGTAGTAAAAGATTTGTTGTCCTTAAACTTCCAAAGGTGACTTCAGTGGCATATATCATCAGTTAATACCCTGGAGGGATATTATGGTAACAGAAATGAAATATTTTGTACTCAGTGTGAATGATTTCCATAGTGGCATAAGCTACAGTGTAAGCAATGGGGGAAAAGAGTTTGAAGCTGCTGAAAGCAGAAATAGGAACAGACCAAACTGGGGGCGGCGGGGGGGGGGAAGTCACTGATTGCTGGGCAGTTATAGCCACTCAGGCATTTCTCTGAATTTACTGAACAACCCCTGATGCCTGCTTCTGCTGACATTGTGTTAGTAATGAAAGTCGTGAGGAGGTACAAGCATCCTACCCAGCAGTTTATGGACTGAAACAGAAAAGCAGAAGAGTAACCCCTGAAAACCAGAACATATGCAATTTACCAGTGTTACAGACTGACATGCCGGCTTATATTAAAGCACATGAAGGACATAAAATTACAGGATATCACATCATCTTCTAAAAACAGTAATTAGCAACATGACAAATTACAATGTTTTATTTGTCATGACACTAATTTGTCTTTATATGGATTCTGTAATGTAACGGTGCTATATGTGACTTTTCCTGTATATGCACAGCCATATAAACACATTTAGACACACACGTGTGTGTATATACACACATGATTGGCTCTAGACTTAGTCACACCTGTGGAACATAGCCACACTGTGAAATCAATGTGAAAAGTAAAACTTGACTAACATTAGCCGTATGGATTTCAAAGGGAACAAAGAGTGACTAATTTAATGGTTGTTCTGGGTTTTTCGGGCTCTTTGGCCGTGTTCTGAAGGTTGTTCTTCCTAACGTTTCGCCAGTCTCTGTGGCCGGCATCTTCAGAGGACAGCAACCTGTGCTCTGGTGTAGTTGGCTTGGGAGTGCAGTATTTATGGCTGTGAGATAGGCTTTTGTCTTTTTCTGTAGATGGGTGATTGGTGTGTATTGTTGTGGCTGTACTAATTTAGTTTGGAATCTGTCTTGAAATCCATTCAGTTTTGATGTGGGTTTTTTCCAGGATTGTGTTAGTATATTCTGGTGATCTGTTTTACAGTAAGATACTGGCTTTGTGCTCTGTTTGCATCTGCATCCTTGATAGTCCCAAGTTTACTTCTATTGTTGTTGTTGTTTAGTCGTTAAGTCGTGTCCTACTCTTTGTGACAGCATGGACCAGAGCACGCCAGGCCCTCCTGTCATCCACTGCCTCCCGGAGTTTGGTCAAATTCATGTTGGTAGCTTCAATGACATGTTGGTAGCTTTGATGATTACCTCTATTACATGCAGTGAATGTTACAGAAAATGCCATTCAACTTTCCTTCTCACTAGCTCCTATACTGGTTGAAATCTGTTTCGCAGCTATGCATGCAAAAATGTCTTCATTTCTCATGAATTTTATCTTGTAGAACAAATTGACCAGTGGCTGCGGAACTCACTGGATAGAAGGAAGTCTTTAATTAACAAAAATCACTCCCTGCAAGTAACATTGTTGCCCTTCTGCAGGCTTATTTTACACAACAGGTTTTAGAGCTGCTGTTTGAACTGTTAGAGCAGGCTACACTTTGTATCAATACATTTTGTATCAATCATTTTCTCTATTGTTTCTTGGGGCAATCGAGGGGAGGCTTGTCCTTTTTTAAAAAAAATAACAAAAGCCATATATCAGCAGAGCAATAGAGATGTCAGAGCCTTCTCTCCTCCTCTCTTTTTCCCTTTTCCCCCTTTACTCACTCATTCCCTTCTCCTTACTTCCCTGCATATCTTTCATTTTTCTTTACCCTTTTGCACAGCATCAGGAGGAGTAAGCGGGTTTTGAAAGACTTACAAAATATTGCGAAGAGCAGGGTTAAAAAAGAGAGAGAGACAATAATGCAATGCTCCTTTCCTTACAGTTCAAAGTGGGAAATGTTCTTTGCCACTCAAGCCCTCTTTCACCTGCAAGGAAGAGGGGAAGGCTGTGTCCTTCAGACAATCTCCTTGTGAGCAATGTATTCATGTTGTTTTTGCTAACAGCAGTGGCAATCTGTCAATATACCTTTTAAAGTACAAGCACAGTGGCCATGAAGTGAACACAGCGCCCAGAAACCCACCCCCTTTGAAAAGGAAATAAGTCTACAGCAGTGTTCACACAAACTAAAATGACAAGGAATGAAGCGCTTTATCATGGGTACAATTTAAAATCAGCCTCCTGGCAAAGAGGAAATAGCCCAATTGCCGGGCCAAATGAATCAATACTAGCAGTGTATCATTTGAACAGAAAAAATTTGAAACAATCCAAATATCAGCCGTAACGGTATAATTGGGCTTCTTTTGGCAGATGTGATCAAACCCTAATTATGCACTTTTAAAGCACATGTAATCCTAAAATAAGCATTTTGTATATGTGTGTTTGAGCTGAGAATTGTACAGTATTACAAAATTCAGAGGGGTAAGTAATATGAAGGATAACCACATGCTTATAGGCGGATTACTCTGAAAAATACTAATCGAGTCACAGACTAAAGGAAATCATGAACATCTCTGGGAGTCTGCGGTGGGATGGACCAATAGATTGTTTACAGCTAATATTCTAGGATATGCCCTATTTTCTGTAAAGGCCTCTCATCAGGAGGTTATAGTATACCGTCTTCCGTTGCTGCAAATAAATATTATCCTTTTGTTTCCTTTCAGTTGGCCCTCACATAGGCCGATACTGTGGGCAGAACACACCAGGTCGTGTCCGCTCTTCGACTGGCATTCTGTCTTTGGTTTTCTACACCGACAGTGCAATAGCAAAAGAAGGATTCGCCGCAAATTACACTGTCTTGCAAAACAGTGTATCAGAAGGTCAGTGTTTATCCGTCCTGCAGAGCTACGTGCTGAGCCTTCTCCGTCATGTTTCTTCACCTGCTGGGGGCTGCATGAAATATTTAGAGAAACCTTAGATAAATAAGAATTCTGTCGCACGTGTGTCTATGTGCGCATGTTTTTAAAGTGGCTAGCCTTTGATTATCAGTGCCAGAAGACGTTTCCTTTCAGATTTGTTTCTCTAAAAAGTCATGAGGTTGTAGATTTTCCCCATTACGGTGGAAACTGAAAATAATACATCTATGCAGTAGAATCTAAACCAAGGTCTAAGTTGTACAAAGTCTTGATACAGGCTGCCAATTTATTGTATAAAGTCGTTCCTCTAAGCACATTGGAATAAGTTCAATGTTGCTTCTATATTGAATAGATCCATTGAAATTGGTGGGTCTAAAGGTGTTTGTGATTGAAAAGTTCCATTTATTGCAACAGGTCTTGTTTAGGAAGGGCTGATATTGAATCATTCCATTGTAACCTATTTTGGGGGCATCTCATTTTTACAAAGACAAAACAAAATATGAGAATCAAAATCCTTTGTAACTGAGAAGGAAACTTCACTGGAACAAAAAGTTAAAATAATAAAATAAAATCCTGTAACCGAAAAATATCTCTTCCGTTAAAACAGATATGGTTTAGGAAACATAAAGAGACACGGGGCATAGCTGCCTCCGTACAAGTCGCATGCAGCTTAAGACCCCAACTCATTTGCAAACTTTTCCCTGATTGCTCATATGTTTTCTGTTTGTCTAAATTAAGAACATTTCTTGTGTGGGTGTAGTATACCATGTGCAAATACATATGGATGCGGAACAATTAAACTTCATCTGCTAGATTAAATATGAATTGTGACATTTGTATATAACAATATATATCTGACATATTAGTATCCTGAACAGATGTTCTGATGCACGAACACCATTCTATGGATGTGCACTGGGACATGTGTAGGATTGTGTAAAACACATTTCTGGTCTCCACAGCAGCAAATGGGAAACAATTGTGCAAAAGACAAAAGCTGTGCCTGCTGATCTGTATAAATCCTGCCCAGGATTCTTTGAGTTTCTAAGCTTTCAGGAGACAATCGGGACACTCTGAAATGCCTTGATTCTTACACACTGTGATGTGGAGATAGATGCACAAGTTAAAATATTGATCAAAGCTTGCACAACATAACACCAAAGCAGCACGTTAGCCAGTTCATATAGCCCAATTAATATTTATTTATTAAAGCAACAATCACAGGAAATCAAAATCCATGGCAGATTTCATATTGCATGTGTCAAAGCTAAGCCATCTCCTGAGAACAAGGAACTGAGAAACAGGATTCTGAGCCAGAAAATAAGTCAAGAGTTAGAATCAGTCAAAGACTAGAAAAAAGGTAATGGATCACTGCCCAGGAAAAGTCATAGCATGAACAAGTGCCTTTCTTACTGAATCATTCTGGGCAGCAGAATCACTCCACTCCGTGGAGCTTTGAAATGTAGTTTTTAAAGGTACTTGGTTACTATTATGCTTCTAATGCCCTCTAACGTAATTAGATGTCATTATAGTAGGTTTTAAGAAAATCTTAACTTTTTTGGCTGTTGAAAATAGTTAGGAGAAACAGTGCTGAAGGAAGAGAAACTTTGATTTTGCTTTATGTGGTGCATTTGCTACAAATCACTGACCTGCACTACAAAATATCGAGTAAAAGTAGCTGAAATTTACGTACATCACAAAAAGAACGACATTATTCTCATTATGTAAACAGCTGTAATGAAATGTATTTATGCCTTAAGATATTGAAAAAAAGTTATTTGTGACTAGTTTTGTTCAAGATGTGGGAATACTTTGTTATCTAGGAAGATGGCCTTTTATTAATAGTCCTGATGACTCAATATCTGGAGCAACCATGCAAGTTCCCCAGTTTCTGGTCCTAACATTTTTTTTACCTGTATGATGAAATTGCAGCAGCCAGTTATTCATGACTTTGTCTACTGACCATCACATTTTCCGTACGAACACAATAATATCTTATATCTGACTCAAAGTGAAGTATGGAGAACACTATAATTCGTAATTTCTCTGAAAATTCTATAGTATAAAAAAGTCTGTATTAGCACCACATGCTTCTTAAAAGGTTTTGTGATATCTCTATTTCAGTTTTTTCCAAATTGTTTCTCTTGAAGAACAAAAAAGCCGATCAACCCAGGCCTCATTGGGTCATGCACGCTTCTTTAAAGCTTTACAAAGAATTAAAACTAGAGATGGGGTTATTCGTATTCATGTACGAATCCCCACACACAAGGGGACATAACAAGGGTCCAGCCCCCTCACTCACGCAAGAGGCGGCCTCACTCTTCCTTCCAGTCACTCCTGGAGCAATGCTTGGCTAGCGATTCAGCAGCCTTGCAGAGAGATTCGCCCTCTCTCCCGTTGCCAGGAGAGGCTAGCCAAGCGGGGCTCTGCGAGTGATTGGAAGGAAAAGTGAGGCTTTTCCACCACCAGATGCATGAGTGGACAGTACAGCCCCAGGAGGCCAGGCCCTCGTTAAGTCCAGTTGTGTGGGGATATTCGTATTCATATATGAATACCCCCTTCTCTAATTAACTGAAGGGAACACAAGACTAATCATACCCCTGTTGTATTTTTAAAACATTTTGTAGCACATTGCTTGTTAATATTTATTGCTACAGTTAGATTTAGTACTTCCCAGGGTTTGGATTTAAGGCTTGTCATAGACTCTGCTCTGTTTTATCTCCTATATAGAAGAAGGAAGTCTATAAATAAAACACATGTAACATCCTCTACATTTCCCAGCAATTCTAGGGCAGAGGAATGCTAACCCCCATACTGAATATGCTGGAGGGAGGCTAGGATTCGGGGGAACTTGGAAACAACTGATCATAACTAATAATTTTGTGCATAATAACAAAGATATAACTAAGCTTTGGTACTATTATAATTTAGGAAAGGGCAACTTCATTGCTTTAGAAATTTAACTGCAATGTCAGGTTGCTTTTTTACATTATGGGATGTGGCCTCACAAAATTCTGGAGGAGGATTATGTGGTGAAGTGTTAGTTTATAATGTGCCCTTATATTCTGTTGTGACTCAGAGGCAATGACACAGCGGACAGAAGGTGTGTGTACTTCTTATCACAGGCCAGCAAAATGTAGCATTCAGATTTATTTAATTTTTTAGGTAAACTATTTTGTTGTGGGTCGTTGGTCTTTTTGGTTTCATTTGAAAAATGGGGAAACAAGTCATTACTTTTTAAATCTGAAAAAAAAAAGATTCCAGTTATTAACTACTGTTGGGTCACTGGAACTATAAGAGTAATTAGTTCCATTTAAAAAAAATGCAATATCTGAGAGGTGCCTGTCTGATAGCAGAATACCCAGACAGTGGACATCAGCTACCAGATCAAAATCTTCTCTTATTTAGGGAGGTCCCCTTGCATTATAATTGAAAGAAAAGAAAATGGGGGGTAAATTGTACACTATCAGGGATGGGAGTGTGAGAGAAAAATACATAGTCACACACAGAGACACACATACACATACACAGGTTCCATCCTGGCTGGTCCGAGCTGATACGCCTTCAAATGATCCTATAGATTTGCCATTTTATATCACCACAGCCCTACTTTGGACTGGGCACCTGAATACATTGATCCAGGCATTAGCACAGATTTAATTCCGTTTCCATGGCCCATTCAAGTTTTCTTGAAGGTGTAAAATATTGTTCAGAGTGCCGTTTCTTGTTAACGTTCAGTACAGGTTTCACAGCTGCCACAGTGACAGAGTGAAAGTCAGAAATAAGTACAGTATGTTGAGTTTTGATACATGAAAATAACACAGTGACAGAGTGAAAGTCAGAAATAGGTATGTTGAGTTTTGATACATGAAAATAACTAGACAGACATACTCAAGCAGGAGGAGACACTAACTTTTTAAAATTACTTTTGCAAACCCCTTCTCTATATGGCATTTCCATTTGACAAATGATCTCGAACACAGTTGCCAACACAATTTCCAGATCCAAGACATAAAAGCCAAACCCAAATTCCGGTCACATTTTCGTGACTATGGTAAGTGGCAGTCTGTGTCCTGCCTCAACACAGGTAGTTAACACACATCAGACTCTTCTGACATTAGAAAGCTTTGTACCTTTTGCCATATTTATATGCTTCCAAAATATAATGCTATATTTAAAGAGATGTTACTGCCCCAGTGTGGACACAGCTGACCTCACAGTATTTAGGCACCACACTGCAAAGAAAGAAGGCTATACTGAGCTAATAACATCAATGCTGATACTTGTTATTCACTTGCAAGAAATGTGGACTACAGGCATTGCTTCTTTTCATCAGTGTCCTGCTTTTAGGAAAACTCATTTTATTAACCATTTGGTTTTTTTCAGATTTTCAGTGTGCCGAACCACTTGGTATGGAATCTGGTGAAATTCATTCTGACCAAATCAGTGCCTCTTCCCAGTATAGCACTAACTGGTCTTCTGAAAGGTCTCGATTAAATTATCCTGAAAATGGGTGGACGCCTGGAGAAGATTCCAACAGAGAATGGATACAGGTATGAAAGATGCTCAAACCATTTTCATAAAAATTAGAAAACTGGTTATTGGTTCCAAAGAAGGGGGAAATCATGGACAATATATTTCTAAGGTGAATGGTACTGTTGTACAAAATAACAATTACTTCTGCACAATTTGGAAAATACTGTGTATATCCTCCATTAGGTACATACCACAAATAGACTGATACTCAAAGCTGTTACTATGGAGCAAAGAGAGAAAAGGAAATATCAAGACCTAACATCCTGCCATATCGTTGTGTGTTGTTGTTGTTTTTAATCTTCTGGGCACAAATATGAAAGATTTTGCTTTGGTGGGGAAATGGTCTGTTCCCTCTAAAAACACAGGTTGCAGCTTGAGGGTGAATTTGTCTCTTGGTCTGGATGCCCAGGGTTCAGCAGTGGCCAAGAGTGCATTTTCACAGTTTAAACTAGTGCAGCAGCTGTGCCTCTTCCTGAAGAGATCTGATCTGGCCATAGGGACACTTGCCTTAGTTACATCCCAGCTGGATTATTGTGACATACTTTTCATGAGGGCTGCCTCTGGAAAGTGTTCAGAAACTTCAGCAAGCCCAAAATGCAGCAGCCAGTTTGCTAATAGGGTCTGGTCATAGGGATCACATAACCGGCCTGTTACAGCACCTCCACTGGCTTCCGATCTGTTTCCAAGCACAATTCAAAGTGGCTGGCTTCCAATCTGTTTCCAAGCACAAAGTGCTGGATCTAACCTATAAAGCCCTAAACAGCTTGGGTCCAAGTTATCTCAAGGACTCCACCTCCCTTTATGACCTTGCTTAGGTAATAAAATCATTAAGAAAGCTCTTTCTCTCAGTCCCACCACCTTCAAAGGTCCATTTAGTGGGGACACGGGAGAGGACCTTCTCTGTACTGCTCCCAGCCTTTGAAACTCCCTTCCACAGGAAGCCAGGTTGGCCCCATCTTTGCTGTCCTTCTGCAAGCCAGTGAAAGCCTTTCTTTTCAGGCAAGCTTTCCCTTAATGACTGAGCGGGAGTTTTAAATGGATGGTTGTGCCTTCCTGCTTTGAAGGAGTTGTTGGTGTTGCTTTTGTTTGCCATCTTTTAATGTGTTATTTCTTTTATCATTTTTAGTATTTGTACGCTTACTCTTTTAACTTTGAATACTGTATTTTAATTATGTAAGCCACCTTGGTTCCTTTTTAAAGAGAATGGTGGGATAAAAAATAATTAGAATAAAGAAATAGTTTGCGCTAACTTTCAGACTAAATGGTACTCAACAGCTACTTGATGCCATGAGAAGGTGGGTGAGAATTTCACTTCTAAAGACCTGTGTCTACACAAGATGGAACTAAATATGAGTTGAACATTTTCCCTAAAAGGCAATATAACATTACCATAGGAAAACAGGGAATTAGTAATGTTCTTTTGGTTTTTCCATTTGTGTCAGCAGTAACAAGCTTGTTCTTGACCATGGGCATGCACCTGATTACAGAACTAGATACACAACTGGAAGATGTGTTACTTTTTCCCTCCATTAAACATGGTTTGGAATAGGTATCCAGTGAAAGATACTGTCTGTTAGACCAATCAAGAGAATACAGTATGGAGCCAGAGAGCATAGGAAAACAGAGATTTCACTGGTTTATGTTGAATTAAGTTTATGTTTAAAATAAGATCTAAAATATAGGAGTATGCTGTACACAGGCATGGGAGCATAAGATGCAGGGGAACTATAAAGTTAAGTTTAGCCTATGGAACTATGCAAGAAGATTTTGGCCAGATTGTGAACTGTCTTATTTCTGCAGATGGGATGGGAAAGACATTTAGAAGAGCGATGCCCCCTCCCCTCTCATGAACATTTAAAATTGCACATGATTCATTGATTGAAAAATTTAATCCAGGTGAACCAAAACCATTTCTCTAACTTTTCTTATTTTCTGATTTTGGTAGTGGGTGTGTATAAATTGCAAAAAGCATAACCAAGGCTCACACTTTCTTTATCATTTCTGCTTAAATTGAAATTGTCCATGTGAACTGTTACAGAATTGAGCCAAATGAACACTGATGGTTAGTTTTTTAAAAAAAAAGTCTGGTTGTAATAAATATCAGAAGATATTTCCCTATGCTATTTTAATTAAACTCTTTACTTTCCTCTTTAATTGTGATCTAAATGCAGCTGATGACAGTAGGAGCCAGGAGAGAAATGTTCACATTTGTTAGATTAATAATGCAGCATTGAAAACCTCCAGTAGTTTAAATAACTGGGACATTCTTTCTGTGTTTATTGTTTTTCATAGGAAATATCTAACTGACATATAAGAATAATGCATCATTAGCCATCAATAAGAGCATTCACATCAGTGTTTCCTCTGAGGTTTGCTGTCTGCAAGAAAGCTTAAAAACATGTTGACTGGTTATCAGCAAGGGGAAGAAAGTCAGGGGAAATCTTTCATTCCTGATCCTTTAGTACACATTGGGACTCTCAGGTGTCCAGCTTATGAGGCCTCAGCACATCCTGAGCTGCTGAAAACCAGTTAATTGTAAATGATAATTTTAATCACCCTTCAGTATGGCAAACAAAAATAAAGTTGATTCAGAACCCACAAGGATTACGTAGTAGGAAAATCTAACAAACTTTGACTATCAGTCAAAAGATGCTGGCTTTAATTACTGCTATTTATTTGCACAGATGTGTAGCAAACATCAAAATGGTCCTTCATATTTTTCCATATCCTCGTTTTTTAAAAAATCATGCTCGCATTGACTGCTTCACAATCTAGTTTTTTTTAAAAAAAAAATCTGATTTGTAGTTTGGAATTTTTCCCGCAGTTCACTTTTAACCAATCATTTAGACGAAATCAAAAGGTTCAAATGGTGCCTCATAAGAAGAATAATTAAAATAGCAGCAGCAGTGGCAGCAACAGCAAAACAATGACTGAAATCCTGTTGCTGTAAGTTACACTGCATAAGGCTAATGATGTCATCAGACACAGCTATTTTTCAGGAATGAAAAAAATGCCCACTTGTAGGGAAACCGTTGGAGGTCAGGGGGAAAGTTGTAATTTTTGAAAATTGCTGCCATCAGGTTAGTTTTACTGCCAGCAACAATTTTCTGAAATTAAAGACTCTCTCCCTATCCCACAGCCCCAACAGCTACCCAATGATGAAAGGGATCCTAAGGGAGCCTCAGAACATTCAGAGGGGATCAGTTTTTTTATTTCCAGAAAATCACCACAGCTGATGATGTTACCAGTTTTACATGGATAGGTTGTGCAACAGAGGTTTCAACTAATGATAACAGGAAAGTGATGAGACGTTACAATGGAGGAAATATGCCAAAGGGTGAAGACGTGCTTTAGTGATCGCCTCATCATGGAGCAGATGAACTCATTGATAGCTCAGTGGTTTGGGAATCTGGCTGTGGAGCAAGAGGTTGGGAGTTCAATTCCCCACTGTACTTCCTTGACAGGGGCTGGACTCAATGATCCACAGGGGCTAATCATTATCATCATCATCATCATCATCATTCTGTGGGATTTCCAGATCCAAAGTGATAGTTTCCCTGAGCCAGCTGCTAAAGGCCATTTTCCTGGGGGACCCATTTTGTGGGTGGATAACTTGAATGTCTGAAACCCGAACGTCACCAAACTTGCAGAGCTTGTAGAGGAGATTCAGGGGAAATTTCCTTCCAATTTTGGTGTCTCTAGGTGCTTGGTGGCTGTTTTAATGTGCCTGAGGATCATTTTATAGCTCAACAAATCAATGAATTAAAAATTGCTAAAAATTCATTGGTTCATATTTGTCAAGGGCATTGTTTTGTATGAATATGGTGATTTGTTTTCTTTAATTCGTGCCTATGTCTAGTTGAGCCTCTCATTTTCCACGATGTTAATTCAATTGGCAAACCCCCTCAGAGAGTGGAGCTCCTCTTCTTGTTACTCTACATGAAACCAGGGACAGAGCCAGACAGGGCTAGAGCATTCGTCTCTTTCTGTGATAATTATATACCAATAAATATTGCCTGAATATGCCTGGATACTGACAAATCAGACTCAGAAGAATGTGCTTATGTCCTGAGGCCCAACCACAAAAACAGACAAGGTAATTTGTAAATTATGGGAGTTGAAAAAAGCTCAGGCTTTGACAATCACACACAACTCTGAAGGAATTCCCAGTTCTAATGATATGTTATCTGTAATGTATAATTTGGCCCAGAAGTTAAAAGGCATATGGGAAGGTTGAGGTGGAGAGCATTGAGCTGGGACAGAACTTGCTCTGTTTGATTGAATTCAAATACAGAAGGACCAAACAATGAACACCTTATGGTATTTATTTATTTTTCATAATATGTATTACTTTCCAAGTTCAAAGAAGTAGAAACTATAGATATAGGGCAGAGAAAGATCAGTAACGTGAAGAGCAGATTAAAATCACTGTAGATTTCCATCCTGACAGAGTAGCTAAATGAACATTTTTGACCGCACACACATTTCTAGAGAAGATGGTTGAGTAAAAATGGGAACCTCTATTTAAAGGAGTCCTGTTTCTGAAAGTTGAATTAATCATTGTCAAGAAAATAAAAGATACTCATCTGATTGAAGGGGAAAAAATGTCCAGCGAAAGATCAACGTTCTAGAGCAGTAACCTTTGTTACTCGGATGCTTTTGAACTGCAACTCCCAGAAACCTCAGTCAGGACAGCTGGTGGTGAAGGCTTCTGGGAGTTGCAGTCCAAAACTCCTGAATAACCCAAGGTTAAGAACCAGTGTTCTAGAGCCTCAGCTCAACAGCTGTCAAATAACTGAAATAATTTGCATCCAGAAGATAGTAAAAAAAAATCATCCACAATGAATTGCAAAAAATAAGTGGGGGATATAATGATAAATGTATCAGCTGCATTTTAAAAGAACATGGTCAACTGTAAGGTGTGTATATTCTGCCTGTACAGAAGTATTTAGTAATTTTATGAGCAAAAACAGAGAGAAAATTTAGCTTTTTGGAAGTAACTGATGGTGACCAGGAA